GGTGCCCCCAGACTCCTTGTTGTTTTTGTAGATACAGACTAACACGGCTACCCCCTGATACTTGCCTCAGAAAGGTACAAGACATTCTGGAGCTTCAGGGTGCACAATGGGAATGTGCACACTGCTCATACCTGTGCTTATGATGGTATAGGGTTTCTTCTATCTTTGTGATGGGTCAGCTGTTCTGTACGGTGTGGATCAATGAACGGGGCTCCTGCACTTATTTTTCCCTTAGGTCTGACTGTGCTCTTAGAGTGCAAGCAGGGAGCAGTCACTACCCTCTGCTGAGTTTGGAGACTGCAGTTGTACTGGGCTCTTGTGTGGGGTAATGCAAGGAGATGAACAGCACTTGCTGAAAGTCCAAGCTCAGTCTGCCTGGCCTTACGGAGTGAAGCCTCACAAGAGCCCAGTGAAGTATGTATATGTTGTGGTCTCCATTTAACAGATGAGACACAGGTAGGGTCACATGCCAAAAGTCACGGAGCGAATGTGTGACAGGACTGGAAATAGAATCTAAATCTCATGACTCCTTGTCTGTGCTTTTACCACTAAACTGTGCTTCCTCCCACATTATAATTTTACTTACCCCGATACCGAGTCCTAATTTTTCACTAATGTTGAAAGGGGAAAAAAAGAAGTAAAATAACTAAAGCCACCCTTTAAAATAAGTAAAGTAACCTTAGCCTGCAGTATATACTATGCTGATATAATTTATGTCTGCTAACCAAAGTTCCCATCCTGCTAAGGAATATTTTAGCAAACACATCCTAGGGCCAGATCCTGTAGTATTTTACAAATGAGGAAACTGAGGCACAGAGCAGTTACATGTCACTTGTTACCCAAGGACACACAGTGAGTCAGTGGTGTTCAGAAATAGAAACAATGTATCCTTGCTTTAAACACTACAAAACACTACCTCCCATAATCTGATTATGCACAATCTCACTGTTGACTTGTTGCAGAATGTTTTCTTATTTCCCAAGTTTATTTGCTTGAGGCTGCCAAGTAAACATTGATAGCACAGTGAAATTCGTCCCTTACATTGAATCGGGGCCATTAAATGGCTAAAGGCCTGAGACCTTTCTCGGTATGGGAACTAGCGGTCCCCTCCCTGCAGCTAGAGTATAGGCTGCAGTTGCTCCTGCCATTCACCGTGTTTAGTTCCGCACTCGCTGTCCTGTTCTTTCCCAGGGGCTACGCCAGGGTTAACCAACCAGCCTTCATAAAGCAAAGTATTTTATTTAGAACAAAAGCACTCCAAAGAAAACATATCTTGAAAACAATAAACAGCTTATATGCAAGTGCCTTTCCAGGTGTCATTCCACATGAAAACCCTGGTAGGTTTCAAAGTCCTTCAAACCCCTTTTGTAAGGTCGGTCCTTCTTGGTCCCAGAGTCAAATCAGTACTTTGAGTGAGAGTGACCCCATCTCTGTAGCAGGCTGCCCATTTTATACAAGTCTTAGTTCTGTGTTGTTTGGGCCTTTTGAACCTGGTGAAAACCAGGATATGCAATTTCCCCCTTGGGGCAGTACTTTTATTTGCCTGTCTAGTGATTTACATTAATTGCCCACTAGTGATGTTAGTTCTCGATAGTTTATCCTTAGTGACTTTCCCATAGTCATTGCATTGCTTGTCTTGTTTCAAGAAAAAAAATAATCCCTTCCCACCTGGCAGGTAACATACCAGGTGAGAAGGCATACTGAGTCTCATGTTTTTTTAATAAAAATAAATCAGTTTTTCCAATTCTGCACACTTTTTATGCTTCTTCAGTAGTTAGATATCCCACAGAATGCATGTGTCCCCACAGATGCCCATGGAAACAGTGGTAAAAGTCCATTAAACTGTTGTTTGTATTCCTTCTATTAATGATATAACATTTTCCCCTCCTTTCCTTTTATTGTGGTGATGTTTCTGTCCATTTCCCTATTTAGGAGGCATGCCACTAGCTGATCTGGCTTATTCCCCTATACCTTCTTTTAGTGGTGTCATTGTCACTATCAGAAGATAGAGGAAAAGACAAAGAAATACAGATTGTTGTGTTACCAACCCCTTGAGATTTTTTACAGCCTTTTAAAATAGGTTGAGGTTTTCTCTCAATAATCTGTACACTTGTAACATCTACTGACTTGATTAACCTACACTGGCAGTGGGGGGTACCGGAAGTGACAGTAGCGACCTATAGCAGTATGTTATGAAAGAAAACAAGCAGGGTTTGTGCTTTTGCCCTCTCCCGAGATTTCCACAATGGGGTGGTGGCTCTAAACTGCTTTTGAGGCACCATAGGAATCCCATGGGAAGAGGCTTAATCAGCATTTTCTCTGAGCAACATAGCCACATCACTTCCCTGGTCTGAACCATCCATTTCTGGGGCTGGTTTGGCTGGCCAAAGGTCCCCCAGTGGTGCAGAGGTTGCAGAAGTCTTTTGCTTCCTCAAACCCATATCTGGGTGAACTTTCTGCTGCTGGGGCAGAGTCCAGTGTACTCCATGAATGAATCAAACTGCATGTTATATGATCTGAAATAATACCTCACTCTTATATAGTGCTTTTCATCAGTAGACCTCAAAGTGGTTTACAAAGGAGTCAGTGTAGTGAAAAAGCTGTTTCTGCTGCTCTT